CGGCCGCTGGCGCCCCTGGCGGCGCGGTGGGAGTACTGCAGCCCGCCAAGGGAGGCGTCCTCAACCATCAAGACAACCAAAGCTGGTGACCCTGGGACTTTGCACCGCAGTTGGAATGAAAAGGAATAAAATAATGTCCTCGTCAGGCGCTGGTGGGCTCCCGTCTGTCATCCCAGCTACTCAGGAGGCTGAGATCTGAGGATCACGGTTCAAAGCCAGCCCCAGCAGGAAAGCCTGTGAGACTCTTATCTCCAATGAACCACCAGCAAACCAGAAGTGGCGCTGTTGCTCAAGTGGTAGGGCGCTCGCCTTGAGCTGAAGAGCTGAGGGACAGCGCCCAGGCCCAGAGTTCAAGCCCCAGGACCATAAAAAAAGAAAAGATGATAATACTCATAAACATATATGCTGAATTAAAACTTACTTGTACAACTACTTGAACAAAAATTAAACCTGGTGCTAATGGCTCATGCCTATAATCCTAATTGCTCAGGAGGCTGAGATTGGAGGATTGTGGTTTGAAGCTGGCCTGGACAGGAAAGCCTGTGAGATTCTTATCTTCCATGAAACTACACACACACACACACACACCACCACCACCAACAACAACCAGAAATGGCGCTGTGGCTCAAGTGGTAGAGTGCTAGCTTTAAATCAAAGAAGCTAGCTTTTAATCAAAACTCAGACTCTGAGTACAAGCTCCAGGTGTGACACACAAAAAAAAAAACAACCACAATTTATTTTTTAAAGCAGGAGCTCTGACTGGTTTGTCCAAGGCCTTCCCTGCTCCTTGTGGAGAGAGGTTATCTTTGCAGACTTTCTGTGTTATTTGCAACGGTTTATCTGGAATATCCAATATCAATGTATAGATAAGAATTGTGTAAAAAAAATGTGAATTGTAGTAAACTCCTTAAGGCAACAGAGCAGTTCTGCATCTGATTGTGTGTTAGTTACATGAATCTATACAAGACATCATACTTCACGCACAGACTTATACACATACAAGTTCATGCTACTGATAGGCCCACGAAAGGTTGCAATGTAATCTGAATAATCAGAATAAGCAATAAATATGGATAGTAGTTCTCTGACATTATTATTATTATTATTATTATTATTGCCAGTACTGGGGGTTGAAATCAGGGACTTGTGTTTTCTCTTTCTTTTTTGGGGGGGTTCCGGTCGTGGGGCCTGAACTCTGGGCCTGGGTGCTGTCCCTCAGCTCTTCAGCTCAAGGCTAGCGCTCTGGGACTTGTGTTCTCACTTGTCTTTTTATTGCTCAAGGCGTGTTCTACTGCTTGAGCCACACCTCTACTTCTGGCTTTTTTTGGTAGTGAATTGGATAGAAGAGACTCCTAGACATTTTTGCCTGGGCTGGCTTTGAACTGAGGTCTTTAGATCTCAGCCTCCTGAGAAGCTAAGATTACAACATGAGCCATTGCATTTTGGCTACCTTGAAAGTGTGTGTGTGTGTGTGTGTGTGTGTGTGTGTGTGTGTGTGTAGCCTGGGGCTTGAACTCTGGGCCTAGGCACTGTCCCTCAGCTTTTCAGCTCAAGGCTAGAACTCTACCACTTAAGCCACAGCACTACTTCTGGCTTTTTTGGTGATTAATTGGAGTTGAGGCGCACAGACTTTTATGCCTGGGCTGGTTTCCAACCGTGATCCTCAGATCTCAGCCTCCTGAGAAACTAGGATTCCAGGCTTGAGCCACCTGACTACCTTACATGGAAAATAGTTCAGCTTTAGCATCCAGAAATTGATGAAAGAATCAGAAGCACTAAAGTGGTGTTAGAACCAAGGGTTCCTTTTGTTGTTGTTGGTCATGGGGCTTGAACTCTGGGCCTGGGCGCTGTCCCTCAGCTCTTCAGCTCAAGGAGCGCTTTACCACTTGCGCCACAGCGCCACTTCCGTGTTTCTGGTGGTTCATTAGATATAAGAGTCTCACACACATTCCTGCCTGGGCTGGCTTTGAACTGTGATCCTCAGATCTCAGCCTCCTGAGTAGCTAGGATTACAAGCATGAGCCACCAGCACCTGGCCACGGGTTCCTTTCTTCTATTGAATCCATCCGAGTTGAACAATCCTGAGAGTGGATTTTTAATGATGCTGAGATCCAACATGGCCTTGAGGAGAAAAACCTCCCTAGGTTAAATGGCAGCATCCACTGCTCCCCATCTGTCCTACCTACCTGCCTTGGGGAGAAACAGATAACCTTGTTACCCAGGTATTGTATGCACACATTGCTAAAATCACTTGACCTTGAGCACTTAAGATGGATGAACTCAACATATGTTCCATCCTTACTGGTCTCTGAAGTGCCAAACCCACAGCGTGCCTAGAACCAATAGCAGCAAGGTAAGAGCGGTGGCTACTTCTTCTTGCTTACCTTGGTCAGGGTCCCTGGCAAATACCACAGCCACAGGGGTCTTCACCGTGGTGTTATCGAAGACAACCACAGCACAGTGGCTGGGGAAGAACCGAGGAGCGTTGTCATTGACGTCTTCCACGTGTAAGGTCACATCTGCCTGGCACGATCGGCCGCCTCCATCTGTGGCCTTGGCGAAGAGGTAATACACATCCTTTTGCTCGCGATCGAGCGCCGTGAGTGTGGTCAGCATCCCTGGGAGGAGAAATGACAGATGCTCAACTTCCTATAGGAGATGTCAACCTCTTCTCCCTCAGAATGGTCTCTCTATATACCAAGAGGACATAATCTTTAGCCATTGATTTTTTGTTGTTGTTGTTGTCAGTTGTGGGGCTTGAACTCAGGGCCTAGGCATCATCCCTGAGCTCTTTTGCTCAAGGCTAGCATTCTAGCTCTTTGAGCCACAACGCCACTTCAGATTTTCTGGTGATCCAATGGAGATAAGAGTCTTACAGACGGGGCTGGGAAGGTGGCTCAGTGGTAGAGCGCTTGCCTTGCATGCTCGAGGCCCTAGGTTCGATTCCTCAGCACCACATAAGCAGAAAGAAAAAAGCCGGAAGTGGTGCTGTGGCTCACAGTGGTAGAGCGCTAGCCTTGAGCTGAAGAGCTGAGGGACAGCGCTCAGGCCCAGAGTTCAGGCCCCACGACCAGACCCCCCACAAAAAGAAACCCAAAACACAAAAGAGTCTCACAGACTTTCCTTCCCAGGCTGGTTTTGAACCACGATCCTCAGATCTCAGCCTCCTGAGTAGCTAGGATGACAGGCGTGAGCCACCAGCACCCGGTTTAGATTTTTAAAAAATAAATTTGGTGCAAGTTCTGGGGTTTGAACTCAAGGCCAGGGTGCTATCCCTGAGCTTTTCTGCTACTGCCCTACCATTTTATTTATTTATTTTGTTGGTCATGGAGCCTGAACTCTGGATCTGGGTGCTGTTCCTCAGCTCTTCAGTTCAAGGCTAGCATTCTACCATTGAGCCAGGACCACTTCCGGCTTTATCTGTTTATGTGGTACTGAGGAATCGAACCCAGGGTCTCATGCATGCAAGGCAAGCACTCTACCACTGAGCCACCTTCCCAGCCCATCACCCTACCATTTAAACCACAGCTCCACTTCTGGCTTTTTTTTTTGGTGCTTCAGTGGAGATAGGAATCTCATGGACTTTCTTGCCCTGGCTGGCTTTGAACCTTGATCATTTGGTCTCAGCCTCTGGAGTAGCTAGGATTACAGGTGTGCACCATCTACCCGTGCCTGGCTAGCAAAATGGGGTCTCTCGTGGGAGCACATAGTCAGGAAAGAAGCCCAGCCTGTATTCGCCAGCATCCACCTGCCCATCTAATCCTCCATCATCAACAAGTTAATAATCAATGATTTGTAAATGAACACTTATTTTGTGTGTGCGCATGTGCCGGTCTTGGGACTTGAACTCAGGGCCTAAGTGCTTTCCCTTAGTTTTTTCATTCAAGGCTGGTATCTGTCACTTGAGCCACAGCTCCACTTCTGGCTTTTTGGTGGTTTAATTGGACATAAGAGTCTCAGGGAACTTTCCTTCCTTCCTTCCTTCCTTCCTTCCTTCCTTCCTTCCTTCCTTCCTTCCTTCCTTCCTTCCTTCCGTCTTTCTGTCTTTCTCTTTCTTTCTCTTTTATTGGTCGTGGGGCCTGAACTCTGGGCCTGGGCGCTGTCGCTCAGCTCTTCAGCTCAAGGCTAGCCCTCTACCACTTGAGCCACAGTACCACTTCCAGCTTTATCTGCTTATGTGGGCCTGAGGAATCAAACCCAGGGCCTCATGCATGCAAGGCAAGCGCTCTACCACTGAGCCATCTTCCCAGCCCCTTGTTTGTTTCCTTTTGGGCAGTTCTGGGGCTTAAACTCAGGGCCTATGTGCTCGTTCTGAACTTCTTTTGTTCAATTGAACCACAGCTCCACTTCTGGCTTTTTTTGAGTAGTTTACTGGAGATAAGAGTCTCACAGACTTTCCTGCTTGGGCTGGCTTTGAACCATGGTCCTCAGTTCTCATCCTCTTGAGTAGCCAGGATTATAGATGTGAGCCACCCACACCCAGCTATGACAGAACTTTATGTTCTGGCCTTGTAAATATCTGCAAGACACTGCTAAATAAAGAAAAACAGGACCCAAAAGAAGATTGTGTTTTCTTGAAATAATAACAAGAAGTTGGGAGATATGTAGGGAAAAGCAGTCTGGTTGGGCGCTGATGGCTCACGCCTGTCATCCTAGCTACTCAGGAGACTGAGATCTGAGGATGGTGGTTCGAAGCCAGCCTGGGCAGACAAATCCGTGAGACTCTTCTTATCTCCAATTAATGAGCAAAAAGCAGGAAATCGAGGCATGGTTCAAGTTGGAGAGTGCCTGCCTTGAGAAAAATAAACAGCTTATAGGGAACACAAGGCTCTGAGTTCAAGTCCCAGTACTGGCGCACAAATCGAAGCCATCTGAGACCTCTTCAGTGCAGGGGAATGTTTGTTATGCACCCTTCCCAAGTTCTGCATAACACACACCTGCTTTGCTGGCCCTTCTCTACCCCGAGATTGTTTATTTCCATTCTCTGAACAACCAAAAAAAAAAAAAAAACCAATCCACCCAGTTTACTTTTCTTTCAAGTCCACACAGAGGCTCCTGCAGCTGAACAAACCACAGAGAGAAAGATACAATGACCTGAGTCATGCAGCAAGCAGGGCTGGAGTCAGGAAGTTTGTGGTGGCCTCCTGTCACCCCAGCGTCCTGGGGACACAGCTCTTATTGGCCACTCCTTGCTCAGGAATCTAAGCGAGGGATCTGAGCCAAGAGTTGGTAGGTAGCAGGTTTTTGTGACCTGAGTTGGCCTTGCTTCTTCCCCCCCTCCCCACTTCCCCACACCGTATCAGAAGACACCCATCCTGCCTTGGGAGTAGGTCGCCATTCACTACCCCATCTCTCCACTGGGCTAAGGTAGCCTCTCCCATGGCTTTTCCCTGAGGGGCTCTCTGCTTCCTCCTCTCTCTTCTGTCTTTAGGTAGTGGTAATCACCATCTTGTGGTGGATTTAGAACAGTTATACCCACTGAATCCTGACCAGCCCTGGGTATCCTGGGCATTGTTATTGCCTGTGTGATCTTTACAAAAGTCCTAGGATTCTTGCGTTGAGCATAGTAGTGCCTGCCTGTAGTCCAGGCTGCTCAAGTAGGTGTGGTCTGAGGCAGCCTGCGCAAAGTTAGCGAGAGCCTTGATTGAAACAACAACAACAACAAACAAACAAAAAGCAAATGAACTGCCAGGCACTGGTGGCACTCATATCTGTCATCCTAGCTACTCATGAGGCTGAGATCTGAAGATCGTAGTTCAAAGCCAGCCCTGGGCAAGAAAGTCTATGAAATCCTTCTCTCCGAGGAGCTACCCAAAAGCCAGAAGTGGAGCTGTGGCTCAACAGGGTAGAGCGCTAGGCTTGAGTCACTGACAGCACTGTATTTCCAGTGGCTCTCGCTTCACCAGAGCCTACATTCCAACCTCTCCACCTCTGTGCACCAGTGTGAGGCTCCCTGCCCCGACCTGCGTGCTCATGTACACCCTACCGCGACAAGGCCCCGGAATACATTCTGCCAACATGGCTGCCCCCTGTCATCTCTTATTCCCAGCTACTGTAGCCTAAGTCAGCTGCTCTTGTTATACACCCCTAAGCAACCTGTATTTCCTTCCTTTCTTCCTTCCCTCCTTCCTTCTCTCCTTCCTTCCTTCCCTCCACCCTCCCTCCCTTCCTTCCCTTTTCTTCCTTCCCTTTTCTTCCTTCTTTCCTTCCTTTCTTTCTTTCTTTCTTTCTTCTTTTCCTTCCTTCCCTTCCTCCCCTTTTCTTTTTCTTTCTTTCCCTTCTTTCCTTCCTTCCTTCTCCCTTTCTTCCTCCCCTCCCTTTTCTTCCTTTCCTTTTTCTCTTTCTTTCTCTCTGTTACTTCCCTCTCTTTTCTTTTCTTTCTTTTGGGGGGGGTCCAGTCTTGGGGCCTGAACTCTGGGCCTGGGCGCTGTCCCTCAGCTCTTCAGCTCAAGGCTAGCTCTCTACCACTTGAGCCACAGCACCACTTCTGGCTTTTTTCTTTTTGCTTATGTGGTACTGAGGAATAGAACCCAGGGCCTCAGGCATGCAAGGCAAGCACTCTACCACTGAGCCACCTTCCCAGTCCCTTTCCCTCTCTTTTCTTTCCTTCCTTCCTTCCTCCTTTCGTTCCTTCCTTCCTTCCTTCCTTCCCTCCTTTTCTTTGTTTTGGTGGGTGGTGTGTATATGTCAGTCCTGGGGCTTGAACTCAGGGCCTTGTTCTCTCCGTCAGCTTTTTCACTCAAGGTTAATCCTGTACCATTTGACCTACAGCCCCACTTCCAGCTTTGTGCAGGTTCACTGGAGATAGGAGTCTCGTGAACTTTCCTGCCAGGGTTGGTCTTGAACCACGACCTTCAGATCTCAGTCTCCTGAGTAGCTAAGATTTCCAAGCATGAGCCACCAGTATCTGGCTGCACCTTGTATTTCCAACTCAGCCACCACCCATTCACAAATGAACTTTCTCATTTGATTATGACATAGATCTTGTCTTCTCCCTTTGGTGTTTACGTCCCCCAGCATCTACCCTAGTGTTTTCACGGCGCCATGTCTATTTTCTGGATGTGTCTTTGCTGATGGATGAACAGATAGATTAGCGGATTCTTGCTGCTTCTGCCAGCGTGGTACTGAGCACTTGGTATTCACCAAATTGTCCGTGGTTTGGTCTCTGGCGCTCGAGAGACTCACCTGTGTGAGGGTCTAGCTTGAATTCGCTCGCCCCAGGGCCATGCAGACTATATGTGATCTGAGCATTGGCGTCTGCATCCAAGTCCGTGGCAGAAACTTTCAAAATGGAATGTCCTGGAGAGACATCTTCACGGACCTTGCCAGTGTAGACAAGCTGGGAAGGAAAGACCAAGAGGGAGATGTGATCTGCACTCAGATCTGGGAGGGGAGAGATCAGAGAGGGAGACAGAAGCGACTGAGAAAGTACAGATAGACAGAGACACACAGAGAAAGAGAGACCAGAAAAGCAGGGAGAAGGAAGGAAGGCAATGCAGGGATGTAGCTTAGGCTGAAAACACATCAGGAAAATGGAGATTAAAATCCAGAAGTGGGCGGGGTATGAGTGGCTCACACCTGTCATCCTAGCCACTCAGGAAGCTGGGATCCGAGTGTCCTGGTTTGTAGCAGCTTGGGCAGCAAAGTCCATGAGACTTTTATTACCACTACATTTCCAAAAGAGCCAGAGGTGGCGCTGTGGCTCAAGTGGCAGAGTGCTAGCCTTGAGGAAAAAAGCTCAGAGACAGCATCCAGGCCCAGAGTTCAAGCCCCATGACCAACAAAAAGAAAAGGAAAAGAAATGGTTTCCTACCTCCAATAGGAAGAGACCAGGCTAACTAAGATCAGTGACAGCCAGTGGGTCCTTCTTTCTCCTGCTCTTACCTGACCTCCCCTCCTGGCCTCCGTGTTCCGGCCCGACCCTCGCCCAGACTCACCTGGGAGCACTGTGGACTGTTATCATTGATGTCCAGGACAAAGACTTCCACGGGAACCGAAGTCTGGAATTTGCCATCAGACGCTGTGATTCTGAGCAAGTACTTGGCTGTGTGCTCACGATCCAGGGTTTCTTTGGAGGAGATCTTCCATTCGTCGCCATCTTGATGGATGCTGAACTGGCCCAGGGGATCTCCCTCTACAAAATACAATTAAACACAATGGACGCACACCTGCTGAGGAGCAGCAACCAAACTGGGCTTTGCATGTTGCTGGCAGCCCAGCAAGACATTTGCTTAAGGATTGTGAAGAAACACATTTTTCCTCTTTAACTAGGAGCCCACAGTTCTACAGTGAGTCCATTTTGGGGGGTTAAGAAGCCTCTCCCCACTTAAATATCTTCCTTGTAAGTAAGATGCAAGAAATACTATGCCAAAATAATCAGCAGGAAGCCGGGCATCAGGAGCTCAAGCCTGAAATCCTAGCTATTCAGGAGGCTGAGCTGTGAGGATCATGGTTCAAAGCCAGCCCAGGCAGGAAAGGCCATGTGACTCTTATCTCCAATAAATGACCAGAAAACCAGAAGTGGCACTGTGGCTCAAGTGGTAGAGTGCTAGCCTTGAGCTGAAGAGCTGAGGGACAGCACCCAGGCCCAGAGTTTAAGCCCCACAATGGACAAAATAATAATAATAATAATAATAATCAGCAGCAGCAGCAGGAAGACGTCCCGGGGCTTGAGTTGAGGGCCTGGGCACTGTCCCTGAGCTGTTTTGCTCACTTTGAGCCACAGCTCCATTTCTGGCTGTTTTGGTGCTTTAACTGAAGATTAGAGTCTCGTGAACATGGCTGCCTGGGCTAGCTTTGAACTGCGATCCTCAGATCTCAGGCTCCTAAGTGGCATGAGCCACTGGCACCTGGCCCACTTCTTGTGGCTGGGAGACATTGGAGGAAGTCAAATGGAAATAAACTTTAACTTCTGTACGAGAACTGTCTGATATACGCTACTATGAACGAATCCGCAGTAGTATGGAAAGCGACTGACAAAACTATGATTTTATGATATACCTCCTGGTGGACCATGTGGAGGGTCAGTCAGAGCGCACTGTATGAGGAAGTAATTTCTCCTTGCTATATCCGTCACCAACAAGGACAGTGACCTGAAGATTCCAGAGTTATAAGATTCAGCTATTTGCTAGGTGCCGTTGGCTCATGCCTGTGACCCTAGCTACTCAGGAGGCTGACATCTGAAGATCGCAGTTTGAAGCCAGCCCAGGTAGGAAAGTCCATGAGACTCTTATCTCCAATGAACCACCGGAAAACCAGAAGTAGGGCTGTGGCTCAAAGTGGTAGAGTGCTAGCCTTGAGCAGAAAAAGCTTAGGGACAGTGCCCAGGCTCTGAGTTCAAGCCCCATGACTGACCAAAAAAAAAAAGAAAGAGAGAGGAAGGGGGAGGGAAAAGGAAGGAGGGAGGGAAGGAGGAAGGAAAGAAGGAAGGAAGGAAGGGAGGAAGGAAGGAAGGAAGGAAGGAAGGAAGGGGGGAAGGAAGGAAGGAATCTTAAGGGATGTCCAGGTAAGGACATGAACCTCCTAGTTCTTAAAACAATGAGGAACTAGGGGAGCAACATCTCATGCATTAGGAATAAAATTGCTGCTATAATCGAGAAGAGTGGGGGCTGGGAAGGTGGCTCAGTGGTAGAGCGCTTGCCTTGCATGCATGAGGCCCTGGGTTCGATTCCTCAGCACCACATAAGCAAAAAGAAAAAGGTTAACATAAGAAGAGTGTATCTGCCATCAGACAGACACTCAATCTTGCAAGACCACCATTAAAGTCTTGTTTGGGGCTTCAATTCTTGCCTCTGAGCCTTCCTTTGAACTTGGGAGGTGAGGGTGCTCTCCTAAGATAAGATTCTATTTTTCTAAGACTACAGATCTTGTCTGTGTCTCCAGGAATATATGATTCTTTATTTTTTATCAGTTGTGGAGCTTGAACTCAGGGATTGAGTGTTGTCCTGGAGCCACAATGACACTGCAGGTTTTCTGGTGGTTAACTGAAGAGTCTCATGGACTTTCCTGCTTGGATTGTCCTCAAACTGTGATCCTCAGATTTCAGCCTCCTGAGGAGTTAGGATGACAAGCGTGAGCCACAGTGCCCAGTTTGCAACGTACGTACTTTTCTGTTTTTTGGTCAGTCGTGGGGTCTGAACGCTGGGCCTGGGCGCTGTCCCTCAGCTCTTCAGCTCAAGGCTAGCGCTCTACCACTTGAACCACAGCACCACTTCCAGCTTTTTCTGCTTATGTGGTGCTGAGGAATCGAACTTAGGGCCTCATGCATGCCAGGCAAGCACTCTACCACTGAGCCACCTTCCCAGCCCCTGCAATGTACTTTCTAAGAGCTTTTCCCACATAGATCTTCCAAGCAGCCTGAGAGGTGAATGAGAACTGGTTCTCTAGCATGACAAATGATTGGTGGAAATGCTACTGATCTAGGACTTAATGCAATGTGCCTTAACGCTTTTCTGTCTGTACTCTGCACAGGGCAGCCTGCTCCTTGTGATGCATGATGACACAGGTCCTTACCTGTGATGTAGCAGGTGACCTGTCTGTTCTGCTCAGAGATGTCAGCATCCAAAGTCTTTAAGGTTGCTACCAGTTCTCCTGGCTCACCATTCTCCACCACCGAGCCTCTGTAGTCTTCTAAAGCAAATCGAGGAGCGTTGTCATTTTCATCGGTGATGAAGACCTCAACCAGGGCTTGGGAAGATAACTGGATGGTCCGTCCATGATCAGAGGCGACTACGTAAAAATGATAAGTCTGTTGGGCCTCACAGTCAAGTTCTTGGAGTGTGGTGATCCAACCACTCTCGCTATCAATGGCAAACAGCTCGTGGATCTGGCTACCAGACTCTGCCAAAAGCCGATAACTCACCTGGCCATCACTGCCAGTGTCCTGGTCATTAGCTGTCACTTGGATGACCGTGGTCCCTCCGGGCATATTCTCAGTGAGGAAAGCCTTGTAGGGATCCGCCTCAAATATAGGCCTGTTGTCGTTGACATCTTCCACTTGGATGTTGACAGAGACCAAAGACACCAAGTCGGTGTCCTCATGGGGGCAATGAGCCATCAGATCGATCTGGTACCATTTGGTGGACTCACGATCAATGGGTTTCCTCACTTTCAAGACCCCGGTGTCTTGATCCAAGGAGAAAACCCCATCTTTGTTACTCTCGGGTGTGGTACCTTCCACTAGACTATAGATGATTGGATCTTGACCAGCCACGGCTTTAACAAACCCAATTTCAGACCCTTCCGGGAGGTCTTCGGCTGCAGAGAAAGTATACAGAGGTTCCGAGAATTTGGGTAAAGAGACTTCATTAGGAACAACCTGAAGTCGGATGGGCACCAAAGATTCCCAGTGAGGGGGACCCCCATCCTGGGCTTTGATCTGGAAGTCAACAGCCCTGTTTTCCAATCCTACCAGGCTTTCTTTCACCTTAACCACTCCAGTGCTTGGGTTGATGGTGACGATCTCTCCAGCCAGGATTTCCGGGGAGTCAACGGAGTAGGTCACATCGGCATTCCGGCCTTCATCGGCATCGTAAGCCAACACCTGGATGACCGGAGAACCCCGGCTGACATTGGACGGGATGGATACAGTGTACCCAGAGGCCTTGAACTGTGGGGGGTTGTCATTTTCATCAGTGACAATGATCTTCACGGTACAGAAGGCCACTTTCCCCCCTCCGTCCCTCGCCATGACTTTGATGGCGACCACTCTTTCGGTGGAATTTTCTCGATCTAATTCCTGCAGTGTGGTGATCTGGCCGCTGGGGTTGATGGTGAACTTCTCCCCTGCCAGTTTATTGATGATTGTGTAATCTACTGTGCCGTAGGGACCGCTGTCCTTGTCGATTGCCAATAACTCGATCACCTTCGTTCCCACTTTGGCGTTCTCAGCTAATTCTGCCTCGTAAATGTGCTGCTGGAACTCTGGGCTATACTTGTTGGCATTGGTAGTGTTTATATACACAGGGACAGCAGCCCGGAAGACCCCATCGGAAGCACCTACCCTCAAATGATAAGAAGATCCCAATTGTTTCTTGCAAAGATTGAACATAGAAATGACCCCTGAGGAGCTGTTAATGGAGAAGTGTCGGTCTTGATTGCCAGAAAGAATCAGGTACTCTAGGCGGGAAGTGTCTCCCAGGTCAGGATCGAGAGCCTGGACTTTAAGAACCAAGTGGCCACAGGTCGCTAGCTCACTGACAGTGGCTTCGTACTGAGGCTGCTGGAACTCAGGAGCGTTGTCATTGACATCAGACACGTTGACAATCACAAGGGTTTCTCCAGTGAGAGGAGGATCGCCCCTGTCCACAGCCCTGACCTTCACGTGAAAATATTGCTGGACTTCATAATCCAATTCCTGAGCGGTGAACATCTCCCCGGTACTCCCATTGATCTGGAAAACATCAGAGACCCCTGATCCATCCTCCAGGATCTGATAAGAGATATCACTGTTCTGCCCAGAGTCTTGATCAAAAGCTAACAGTTGGATCACAGGGGTATGAGCAGGGAGACCTTCGGAAATCGAAGTGGTGTAGACCAACTGGGGAAACGTGGGAGGATTGTCATTCACATCGTCCACCAAGACTTCCACTATGGCTTCAGAAAAGGAGCCCAGCGCCGTATCTGTGGCACGGACCGTGAACACGTGCTTTCTCTGAGATTCATAATCTAAAGGTCCCGTCACGGTGAGGACGCCAGTCTTGAAGTCAGTTGTAAAGAGCATCAGGGGTTCTTCCTCTACGATATTGTAGATCAGTCTGAGGCCTTCCGGGCTCCGCGCTTGGGTATGAAGGATGGGCGTGTAGAGCGTGATGTTCTCGGGAACTCTGACTTTGTAGTAAGGACTCTGAAAGAGTGGATTGGATTTATTTCTCACGATCACCAGGACTTCTTCCTCCGTCTGCAAGGCAGGGGTTCCTCCATCCCGCGCGATCACTTTGAGGCGATACTTATTTAAAGCTTGGTAATCAAAAGGTTTCTTCAGGGTAATGTCTCCCATGTAGGGGTCAATTCGGAAATAGGTATAATCTTCGGCAAAGGCAAACGTGACAGTCCCATTGGCTCCCAAGTCTTCATCCGTGGCCGATACCTGAAACAGGACGTCTCCGGGCTCCGTGCCATCTTGGATGGTTGTGTAATAGGACAGATGCTGAAACACAGGGGGACTGTCATTAACATCCTCCACGGAGACCCTGACCAATGCCTGAGCCACCCTGGGAGGGACACGATTGTCCCTCACTTCCACGGCCACCACGTGAGTGTCCTGCCGTTCCCGATCCAAGGCCACACCTCTCGTTTGCAGCACCCCTGCTGACCTGACCACGCGAAAGCAATCTGTGCCATTCAGGAGGAAGAAAGAAAGGGTGTCATTCACATGGTGGCCCTGGACACGGAGAATCACCAAGGCCTTCCGCTCCTGGCTATTCTCATCCACACTTGCGCCATAAACCTCCCGATCGAAGCGTAAACTATTGTCAGGGTTGTGGGCCAGAGAAATCTTGACCAATGCAGTGTCTTGATACACACCATCAGAGGCCCGGATGGAGAGCTTCCTCGGGGCCCCCAGGAGGGCGGGATTCAGCACAGACAGGCGACCGCTGAGGGGGTGAAGGGCCAGGGCTTCATCTGTGTTACCAGTTTTGATGCTGTAGTGGATTTCTGAGTCCTCATCGCTGGCTCGAACCACAAGAAGCTCCATCCCTGGGTGGGTGGGTCCCGTGAGTGTAACTTCATAGATCTGCTCTGAGAACCTTGGGGGAGAATCATTCACGTCTCTGACCTTGACGATGACCTTGGCAGGCCTGGGTGCAAACAAGAGGGGATGCCCTTGGTCGCGCACGTAGACGTTGAACTGGAGAGAGGGTGTGGCCTCATAATCGATCTCTGATGCAATGGTGAGTGTCCCCATACTGGGGTCAATTGTGAAAAACTTTAGGGCTTCTGGTTGTAAGATTTGATACACCAACAAGGAGTTGGCTTCTTTGTCCGAATCGGAGGCACGGATGACGAACGGCTGGTTTTTCTCATCCACGATCAGACTGTGCAATGGAGCCGCTTCACTGACGGAACCCACAAACGTGGACTTGAAGAACGCAGGTGCATTGTCGTTGTCGTCGATGATGTAAACCAGGACCACGACATCGGTGTAAGTACCTGCCATATTGTTGCCCCGGATCTTCAGTTGGTAAGATGAGATTTTCTCATGATCGAAGGTCTTCTGGGTGGAAAGGAGGCCAGAATAGGAATTCAGGGAGAACACACTATCCTTATTTCCTTCTCTCAATTCATAGGTCACTTCTGTGGGACTGGTAGCAGATACCAGGAGGATCGGTGAGCCACGAGGGATGGATTCGGGGATCTCGATGAAGTACTCAGGTTGTGAAAAGATAGGAGCGCTACTGTCCGAGGGGTAGACATGAATGATCACCGTAGCCAGGTCTTGCTTTTGTGGGGAACCTTGATCTTCGGCCTTCACGGTCAAGGTATACCGGCCGTGATTTGTCTGATCGAGTTTCTGGGCTGCCGTGATGATACCTAGGAGGGAATCAATGTTGAAGAAATCCTCACTGTTGCCTGAAAGAGAAGATAAGACAAAGGAGTTCCATGCATACTCAAGGGACAACAATGACACTATTATTGTTATTATTACTATTACTATCGTTGTTGTTGTTATGGCCATGGGGCCTGGGTACTGTCCTTGAGCTCTTTTGCTCAAGGCTAGCGCTCTACCACTTTAAGCCACAGTACCACTTCTGGTTTTCTAGTGGTTCATTGGAAAAAAAGAGTCTCATGGACTTTCCTGCCCAGGCTGGCTTTGACCCGTGATCCTCAGATCTCAGCCTCCAGAGTAGCTAGGATGACAGATGTGAGCCACTAGCGCCCAGAGAAAGCTCTGATTTCCTGAAGATACAATAAATGAACATTGTGGTCTAGGAGGCGGAAAGAAAACATTGTTCCTCTTTGTCTTTCCATAGTAAGTATCCATAAATGTTCATCATGATTAAGGGTAATTATTACTGAATGCCACTAATTATGCATTATTACCATTACAAATTATCCTTAATCATCCACTGGAAACCATGTTGTCACTTTAGTTATGTTAATTACTTATAATTGACACTTGTCAATAATAGTACAATATTTTATGTATTAACACACATTTGTGTGTGTGTGTGTGTGTGTGTGTGTGTGTGTGTGAGTGTGAGTGTGTGCTGGTCCTGGGGTTTGAACTCAGGGCCTGAGCTTCTTTGGCTCAAGGCTAACACTCTAACCTCTTGAGCTACAGCTTCACTTGTAGCTTTTTGTGGTGCTTAATTGGAGATAAGAGTCTTATGGACTTTTCCTGCCCAGGCTAGCTTTGAACCATGATCCAGAGATCTCAGCCTCCTGAGTTGCTAGGATTACGGCTATGAGCCACCAGCACCTGGCACATTTTTCTTTTTGAATCTTCACAACTTCCTAGCAAAGGTCATACTCCTATTTTCATGATGGCAAAAAACCATAAAGCACATGCTAAGTCATTATGTGACCTTAGCAGAAAATAAAAGTTATCCTTAAAAAACAATAGCATATCACGCCTGTAATCCTAGCTACTCAGGAGGCTGAGATCTGAGGATCGAGATTCAAAGCCAGCCTGGGCAGGAAAGTCTGTGAGACTCTTATCTCCAATAAACCACAGGAAAAACAAAACAAAACTGAAATGACATTGTGGCTTAAGTGGTGGAATGCTAGCCTTGAGCTGAAGAGCTCAGGGACAGCACCTAGGCCCACAGTTCAGGCCCCATGACTAACAAAAAAAAAATAGCATACAACCTATAAAAATAAAAAACTTACACATCTCCCTGATACACATAGAGGAACTTGGTGTATTCTCAAACCTTACTCTGCTCGCACAAGTGCCTTTCACATATATGTACATCTTACTGTGTGTAAATGCTCCCCAAATGAGAGAAAAGTCCAAGAGCTGCTATGGCTAATTAACCAGCAAAATGCTGGACTGGAGGCGTGGCTCAGGTGGTGGAGCACCATCGATTTGTTATTTATGATTATGATTGCCAATCTGGAAGTACATTAGCTCGGGTCATTCTAATTCCACAGGATGCTCTAGAGCTGTCCTTGACCTACGCTTAAGACAGCTTGGTACTTGATTAATCTGATCATGGATTCATTTCAGAAGCAGCAGGAACCCTAGCCATTCTCACCTTTCAGGAGGGAGTAATGGATCTCCGCATTGGCTCCCCGGTCAGCATCCACGGCTCGGACCTGGAGCAGCTCTGTACCAGGGACTGTTGTGTCGGGGACCCTGGCTTCATAATGAGGCTGGATGAACTTGGGCGGGTGGAAGTTTCCATCTTCCAAGTGAATTGTCACCCACACAAAGTTCCTCTTGATGGGCATCTCTTGATCTCGAACCTAGGGACCCAAAGGAGGGACCAGGATGAGCTTCAAACTGATGGCGGGAGGCTGGGTTTCGTAAACTCCATGAAAGAGAATGGCAGTGAAAATGGTACCTCATCCGTGCATATTCCTTTAAATCCTGGATCCGCACCTACGCTTTTCTTCCCTCCCTTCCTTGCTTCCTTCCTCCCATTCCCTTCTCTCTCCTTCCTTCCTTTCTTCTTTCCTTCCTTCCTTCCCTCTCTTCCCTTCTTCCTCCCTTCTTTCCTTCCTTCCTTCCCTCTCTTCCCTTCTTCCTCCCTTCCTTCCTTCCTTCCTTCCCTTCCCTCCTTCCTTCCCTTCTTCCTTCCTTCCTTCCTTCCTTCCCTCCCTCCCTCCCTCCTTCCTTCCTTCCTTCCTTCCCTCCCTCCCTCCCTCCCTCCCTCCTTCCTTCCTTCCTTCCTTCCCTCC